GGTCATCTTAAATGCTTCTTCACCCATGTATGGTGCCTGGGCTGGGAAGACTCAAAAAGCTGAAACAGCTGAAGCTCCTCAGCCTTCTCTATCTCTGTATAGTTTCTCCCCTTGGTATCTCCAGCATGGAGGCTTCAGAGTAGCCAGGTTTCTTAAATGTCTCCTGTAGGCTCAAGTCTTCTAAAGCATCTGTTCTGAGTGAGAGAGAGCTAGGTGGAAGCCAAATCACCTTTTATGATCCAGCCTGGAAGTCACACAACACATTTCTTTCACACTATTAGTCAAGACAGATACAAAAATCCACATGATTCATGGAAAGAACATAAACCTACCTCTCAGTGGAGAAGTATCATCATTATAGGAAAAGTGAGTGAGATGGAATACATAGTACAGCTACCTTTGGAAAATATATTCTTTGAGGTATTTAGGCTGTGGGTTGAGCCTTTATTCCCTGGTATTGACTAGTCATAGTGTGTGTCATGAGGCTCTTGGGTAAGCTGACTCTCTTCAGTTGAGGGCAATTTCTAGAAAAGGATTCAGCTGTTTTCTTAGTTGCCAACATCCCCCAAGGCTGGAGGAATGAGTGCTTCAGTCCTAAAGAGGAGGATCCAGGTGGCATATGATAGCATCCACTGCAGGTAATAGAAACATTCAAGTATCTTTGTGGACATATATTTCCACTTATTTTGCATATCTATCTAGATGTGGAATTTCTGTCATAGGTAGGTGTATCTTTAGCCTTATGATACTACCAAACATCTTTCCAAAATGGTTGTACCATTTGAAATTCTCAGCAGCAATTTGCTAGAGTTCCAGCTGTTTCACATCCTTAACAACATTTGGCATCGTCTGTTTTTTAATTTTAGCTGTTCTAGTTGGGTGTGAAATGATATTTCATTGTGGTTTTAACTTGCGTTTCTCTGATGACTAATATGCTGATCATTTTCGTGTGCTTAGTGCCCTTCCATATATCTTTTTTTATGGACTGTGTATTCAAATCTTTTGTCCATTTAAAAAAGTGGGTTGTTTGTATTCTTATTAGTAATGTGCACTCTTTACAATTTACAAATTACAATCCTAATTTAAAGTTATAGAAACACTTCCTTTGTCAGAAAAGTACTGCAAATATTTTCTCCTGGTCTGTGGCTTCCATTTTAATTTTCTTAACAGTGTCTTTTGCTGAGAAGTTTTTAGTTTTAAGTACAATTTATCAATTTTTTTCTTTTTATGTTTCGTGCTTTTTGTGTCCTCTTTAAAAAAAATTTTGTCTTTCCGAAAGTTGCAAAGATATTCTCCTGTTTTCTCAGAGAAGCTTTGTAGTTTTAACTATTGCTTTTGGGTCTCTGGTCCATCTCAAATTGAGTTTTGAGTGTGGTATATAATCCAGTTAGTCCATTGTTGAAACATTTTTCCTTTTCCAATTGAATTGCCTTGTAATCTTTTTAAAGAATCAACTGACTATATATGTTTTATCTATATCTAAGCTCTTTATTCTATTTTATTGGTATATCTGGCTATCTTTATGATGATCTCATAATGTTTTGATTGCTATGGCTGTTTAGTAAGTCATAAAATTAGTAATGTCAGTCACCCAACTCTGTTTTTCTTTTACTTTTTAAAAAATTTTTTATTGGAGTATAGTTGATTTACAATATTGTATTAGTTTCAGGTGTACAGCAAAGTGAATCAGTTATACATATACATATATCCACTCCTTTTTTAGATTCTTTTCCCATATAGGCCATTACAGAGTATTGAGTAGAGTTCCCTGTTTATTTTGGCTTTTCCAGGTCTCTTACATTTCAATAACACTTTAAGATCAGTTTGTCAATTTCTACAAAAAAGTTCTTTAGTTTTTGGATTTTGGCCTTATCAATTTTGGGAAAATATACACCTTAACAGCTTTGAGTCTTTCATACATACATGGTATATATTTCCACTTGTTTAGATCTTTTAAAATTTCTTTCAGTAATGAGATCTTACACACATTTTGTTCCAAAAATTTTATGATTTTTAAACTAATTTAAATGGAAATTATTTAATAATCTTATTTCCCAATTATTTGATGCTAGCATATAGAAATAAATATAATTTTGTTTATTTTGTATCATGAAACCTTGCTAAATTTACTATTACTTCTAGCAGCTTTTTTTGAGACACCTTAGGATTTTCCATGTATTTGATGATGTCATCTGCAACAGAAGATAGCTTTATTTCTCCCTTTCTTTACGCTTTTTATTTCTTTTTCTTACCTGTAGCACTGGTCAGCATTTTCAGCACAATGTTGAATAAAAGTGGTTACAGCAGTTATATTAAACTCTTTTCTGTCAGTCTTAGGGGGGAAAGCATTCAATATTACACTATTAAGTATGATGCTAGTGGTAGGGTCTTCATAGATGATTTTTGTCAGTTTGAAGAAGTTCCCTTTTATTCCTTATTTGCTGAGAGTTTAAAAAAATGTTGGATGATTTTTGCCCCTTCATTGAAATGATTTTTGAATTTATGATTATTGAAATGATCATATGGTCTTCCCCCTTTAATTTGGCATATGGTGAATTAAATCCTTAATTTTCTATTGTTAAACCAACTTTGCACTCCTGGTATAAATCTCACTTTGTCATGATGGATTGTCAGTTTTATATATTGCTGGATTTGATTTGCTACTGTTTCAAAAAGATTTTTGCATCTGTGTAAATGAGGTTTATTGGTCTGTAATTTTCTTTTCTTATAATGTTTTTGTCAGATTTTGGTATGAGGGCTATCCTGGCATTATAAAATCATTTGGGAAGTTTCTCCCTTTCTCTATTTTCTAAAAGAGTTTATACAAGATTGGTATTATTTATTCCCTAATTCATCAGTAAAACTGTCTGGGCTGGTAGTTGGTTGCTTTCAGTATTTTCTCCTTATTTTTGAGTTTTAGCATTTCAACCATGATGTGTCTTACTGCGCTTCTTGTACCAAGTTTGAGAATTTTTGACCATTATTCCTTCAGATATTTTATCTGCCCTATTCCTTCTCTTCTCCCTTTCTGGGACTCCATTTGCTTATAGGTTAGACTCTTTGATATTGTCCCACATGTCCCAGAACCTCTGTTTATTTTTTTAAGTCTTTTTTTTCCCTTCAAATTTTAGGGGAACTTACACCCAGACTTTGAGTCTCCCTTCTATATGGCTCCCTCCTTTCCGGGATATCTCCCTTCAATTTCCAGTTGTGTGGTAGCCCCAGACTGTCTCCTTTCATACCTCGACCCATTAAGACTGTGGCTTTCTGCTGGTGTTTCAGCCACTCCTGCTATACAGACTGGGTAGTGCTCTTAGTGGAGAGACTGTATAAACTTGGAATAGCCTTCAGTTTCTCTCTGCTTTTTATTGCTGTCCAATGTCCTCAAGTAGTTAGTTTTAAATTTTTGTCCAGTGTTTAAAATTGTCATCTGGGGGAGGGTTAATATGGTACAATCTACTCCATCATTATTGGAACTGGAACTCTGCTTCCTGTATTCATAAGGTTAGTTAATTTGTTCACCATCTACCCTGTCTTTCAATTTAGAGTCCCCAGTGTCCCCAGTGTCCCCAACTCAAAATAACCAGTCACTAGATCCAAACAATCGAGTCTCAGGTATGCTCCTGAGTTGATTGACACCTGACTTCCTTAGAGCCACTGTTTTAGATCAGGTTCTCATTTAGCTAGCTGGTCTTCTTTGCCTCCCAGCCTCAGTCACTTCCCGTATTGCTTGAGATATCTTCCTAAAAGACATTCCTTACTGTTACTTCCTTGTTTTAAGACCCCTCTACGCTCCTGCAGGGTTAAATCTTTTTGGCTTGTTCTATAAAGCTGCTTACAATGCAGCTTATGTCCTGCTGTTGATCCACGTAGAACCAACGCTCCTGATATGTTAAGCTTTTCTCTGTTCTTGGACACATCAGAACTTTCCATGTTTTTGAATTTTTGCTGTTTGTATCCTGCCTACATTTTATCTGACTTCTTTATTTTTTTAATTTAATTTTTATTTTTTTCACACACACACACACACACACACACACACACACACACACTGTATTTTATTTTTACAAGAGATAAATAAACTGACACCAAGCATTGTAAATGTATGACCACAACAAAAGCAACAATGATTGCAATTACCAAACATGAAAGACACTCATACTATGTCATAATATTGACATTCAGTCCAGTAATCCTCCACTGTAACAGCTCCTTTACTTTGCAGTGAAATTGTTTTGTATAGGGCTTCCCTGGTGGTGCAGTGGTTGAGAGTCCGCCTGCCAATGCTAGGGCACACGGGTTCGTGCCCCGGTCCGGGAAGATCCCACATGCCGCGGAGTGGCTGGGCCCGTGAGCCATGGCCGCTGAGCCTGCGCGTCCGGAGCCTTTGCTCCGCAATGGGAGAGGCCACAGCAGTGAGAGGCCCGCGTACCGCAAAAAAAAAAAAAAAAAAATTGATTTGTGTATTTTTTGCCTCTGAGCCCTTGTGGGATTGTTGTTTCTTTTTTATTCAAATAGAAAGTCACAAAAATTATAATCATTCTCATTATCTGACTTCTTTAGTCTTAAAATCTGATGCTAACACCACCTCTTCTGAAAAGTCTTCTCTGGATGTGTTACCTCTGTCCTCAATATCTCTCTTCTGTATTCTTATAGCACTTATAGATCTGCATATTGACATGGTTCATCTATATCTATCTATCTAGTCTATATATATATCATCTATATAATCTCCTGTTTCCTTCAGTAGATTCTAATCTCCTTGGTCAAAGTGTCGTATCTTTCAAATATGGTTTTTTCATATTCATAACATCTAGTAAGCGTTGTATACCCTGTGTAGATTCTCAGTGTATATATTTTTTGATGATCTTACAAAGAATATTTTTCAGCAATTGTATTCAAAATAATGGTTTTACATATAGAAATTAAAGGCCACAGACCCCAAAAGAGAAACTAATCAGCCAGTTCATATACTATTCTGTTATTTATTGTTTCTTTAGGAACATTTACCCCACATCTAGCACCCCTATAGAGTTCTGTAAGAATGGTGGAGCCTGGGAAAATGGCAGATGCATTTGTCCAGAAGAGTGGAAAGGACGGAGATGTACAATCAGTAAGTTACTTGGGATAATACTAGGGTGTGAGATTTAGGTGACTCTTGTGTTTATAAGGACAGCAGCAAAGCTTCTTGAAGCTTCTGTTAATGACTGTAGTAACAATGGGCATAATGATGATGGATTTAAGATGTGTTTATTAGCTCAATAGTAAAAGCTGAGTTTTCTTGTGCTATTTACCTGTATGTTCAGCACACCTCATTTCTTTCCCAACTGTTAAGTTTCTCTGTAAAACTCAGTTGCTTTTCTTTCTGACTGCAGTGTCTACTATAGAGCAATGGGTAATACGGTTTTCTCAGCTCCTTTCAATTGGTGATACGCCATATTACCCCATTTCAAATATCATAATTCTAACATACTTAACTTTTCTGAAATCAAGAGGCATCTTCTCATCCAAGTATATATTTAGATGAAGTGTTTGTTTTTTCTTCCTTTCTCTTGGAGAGATGTTATTAAATTAGTGGCTTGACTTCGGTCAATGGTATCTCAGAATCAAAGTTCAAAGCCACTTCTTGATCTGCAGTGTGCTTCCCAACAATCTACACACTTCATGCTGCCTGCTTAAGATTCAGAGCCCTAGAAGCTCACTCCTATAATTACCTACCCTCCAACCAGCCAGTGTATCCCACATACTCCATGACTTTAGCTTTTTGTTTAACCCACACCCTCATGATGCCCTTTGCTACTGTAGGCTCTATATCTTTGATTTTCAAGATTTCAACTAATCTGAGGCACTGTCCTTTCTGATGTGTTAGTGATCACATCCCACCTCGACTGAGTTATATATTGTGCACATTTTAACTGGAACCTGTAATCGAACATACTAGTTATTGTAATGGTAGTAACTTAACTAGATAAGAAAGTATGTACTTCCTGGCTGGTCAGTGAGTCCTATAAGCCTTCTATTACCCTTCGAATTACACCAGAGAGGTTTTGAACTTTGACTTTTATCTGGTTTGAAATTTGAGAAAGAAAAGTGAAAATTTATAATGAAAATTTTTTGATTAATGATGAATTTATGATGAAGAATATTTTTTCTTTCCCTTATAGTTAATTTCTGTGAAAACAGTACCTATGAGAATTTTACTTTTCACAGAATTCCAGTGGGAAGATATGGCTCTTCCTTGCAAACATGTGACAAGAACACTCTGAATGGTTTGTGCTTTTCCAAGCATCTCCTCTGTTTAGGCATATGAATTGCTATGCTGGGTCATACCTATCATCTCTCCAACTAGTGTTAGGTCCCTAGAAAAGGCATCAAGGAAGATTTTGTGGAAGGGTTTGGCTCCATTTCGTGATGCCAGTGTTCAGAGTTTTGGGTGTTACCTCACATAATTCCAGTTTTCCTAAAAACTGAAATATAGATCAGTAATAAATTCCTTTTAATTCTTCAATAGATTTATTCTTGCAGCCTCCTCCATCTCCTGGAGTTTAATCAGGTTAAGATCTGCTGTTACATAATTTATCTCAATTTTAAAGACTGGGTAGACTGTAGGTTTACACCATATCTATTTTGAGACTTCATATTTCTAGGTAGAATTGCAGTTAAGTCTCTTCACAGTTAGGAGTCCTTCACCTCTTTGATCATTTTAGTTTTCCATCTTGGAGCATTTTCTAGCTTCATCACACCTTTCCTGAAGCGTGACAACCTTGCTTGCACAGAGGCTTTCCAAGAATAAAGGAGCAAATGATATTTTCTATTTCTAATATGCTCCCTGATGATATCTAGGATTTTGACGACATATACGATTTTAATGCCAGATTGGGTAATATCTTCTAAGAGTAGCCCTTTAAATTCATAGACCCCTTTCCCGACAGCTTAGAGCCCATTATCCCATATGATTTTCCCTAAACGTTTTAACAGTCCTTGGTTTGCATTGATTTTCATCTGACCAATCCTCCTGCCTCTCATACCTTTCTGCAGGTTATCATCCACTTCCTGCAGAACCGGATATCTCAGTAACTAATTCTAGATGTTTATGCAAGTGTTTGATAGTGAATAATGAACCTGGGAAAATTTTTCACATTTTATTTAGATATTTATTTCTATGTGTGTCAAGGGCTTTTTGAAACACTAAATAAATTGTATGCACTGCTCCTTCCTATGTCCTTCTTTGCCTTATTTATTCTAAGAAATTATTTAGACCAGCGTTCCATTTGTTGAATCTAAATTGCCTCTGCCCACATATATCAAGCTTACTCAAGTATTCATGATTCTACTCTTTACATAGTTCTTTCCAGCTACTTTTTTCTTTTTTTTTTTTTTTTTTTTGCGGTAGGCGGGCATCTCACTGTTGTGGCCTCTCCCGTTGCGGAGCACAGGCTCCGGACGCGCAGGCTCAGCGGCCATGGCTCACGGGCCCAGCCGCTCCGCGGCATGTGGGATCTTCCCGGACCGGGGAACGAACCCGTGTCCCCTGCATCGGCAGGCGGACTTTCAACCACTGTGCCACCAGGGAAGCCCTACATACTCTTTTAATTTATAACTTGTTTTTGTCACTTTAATACTTTGTAAACATCTTTTTAATATAAATACTTATGCATCTACATCATAAATTTTAGATAACTGCATTATATGAGTCAACTATTATTTAAGCAGTTCTCTTCTGCTGGACATTTAGATAGCTTCAAGTCTTTTGGTGTTTCATTCTTGTACATAATCTTTGTTCTCATGACCTATTATTTCCTTAGGAGAAATTCCTAGTAGTTCTCAGTTCTCTAATATTATAACCAGTACCTATTTAGTGTTGAGTCCTCAAAGTAGAAAAAGTGCAAATGCCTGAAACAGAACATTGACAAGATTATAATTCTGAGAGATGATGGTAGAGGTGTTATAAACAATTGAACTGGTGTATTTTATGACTTCAGATTTCTCTAGGAGTCTCACTAGTGTGAACACTCCCATTTTTCTTGAAGTTGGTCCAGAGTCTATGTTCAGTGAACTCCCTTCAGAGCTGGAGGTTCTGTGTTTGCAGTCTTGCTGGAGGCCAAGGAGAGGAGTGGGTGTTTTGGGTGAGGAGGCTGAGGAAAGAGCCATTGTGGGATTTGGCTGAGAAAGTAACAGATCATGAGATAGATGAAAACACTGTCCCATTAATAAACAGTTATGAATTTTACTGGCTTAAGGCATGGAGAAAAAAGAAAACAATTCTGTGTGATTTATGTGTAAAGTCCAAATGGCATAGAAGAATGTGTTTAGAGGAGAAATAAAAAATTTCAATATAGGATGCGCTGAAATATGAAATGGTATAACCACACTCAATCCTTCCTTCCTCCCACTCTGAATTTCTAGTCTACTTATTTTTCTAATGATGGGCTATCAGTTTACCCTCTCCCAGGTGATCTTTTGCGTAAACCCTGTGGACTCAGGTCTTTATTCATGTAAATAAGGCTTTCGCCTCAATCTCGAGCCCTAAGATCATGTCAGCAAGCCCTTAGCTCTCCTCAGGAGAACACTCTTGGTGAGCTGCCGACAGAGGTAATCTCTCTCTCTCTCTTCTCTCCCCTGGAAGGAAATTAGTTGTTACTTGGGGCAACTCTTCCTTTCCAAACTCCACCCGCTGAACTGAGACCAACGTGCAAGGTCTCCTGATAGGCACCAGCCTAAATGGTGAATCTCACTCTGACTTTCCCTTTCTTTTATCTACAGTTTCCTTTTTGTGTCTCTAAGCTACTGAACTCCCCTTCTACACATATGGGGAGAAGTGGACAGGGTGAGGGTGAAACAGAGGAGAGTGACAGGGAGGAAAGAACTCACTCCAGCTTCAGTCATCGCACGTTGTCACGGCAGAGTTCTCCAGCATCCTTTCATGCATTCTCTTGTTCTAAACTGGGAGGAGGCAGGGTGTTGAAGTGGGCCCAGCCAGGGCAGAGTCTCTGCTGGTAAAGGCATCTGGCTCAATCAGTGAATCTAAGACCTTATTTCTCCGTTTTGAACACTTGCTGTAAAGACTGATCCATAACCTTGAAACTTTGCTGTTACATTCAGGCTCCTAGTTGTCCTTGTTTACCTAACTCTGGGAACATAGAACTGCTAATACTGACTACCTTGTACATTTCCATTGCATATTTCTGTTTGCATTTCTATTCTAGCCAACTTTCTTTGCTTACAAGACAGCTGATCAAGTTATCTTAACCAAAAGAGAGCTACTGTAAAGAGGCATATGGAATCTCCTGGGAACCTAGGAACAGGATCATAATACAGCTGGGCCCTATGGATGCTGGACCAGGGGGATGGCAGGACTTCTAAGGCAGCTTTGAAGCTCTCAGTAGAGCAGTTTTGGGTCTTCCCTGTGGGAGAATGTAATGGCAGTGGCTGTTGTAATCAGACGGTTCTGGATTCAAATCTTAGCATTGCTTTTTAGTAGCTACATGATTTAGGCCAAATTACTCCATATCTCTCCAAAGAGCCTCAGATTCTTCAGTGTAATATGGAAGTGATTTTGGGACTCGCTTCAGCAGGATTCTTGTGAGGCTCAAGTGAGATAATGTATGTAAATTGCTAGCATAGTACCTGACTTATCCATATTAAATCTTGGAAAAATAGGTTAGCAGCTGTGTTTATCATTAACATGACTCAGTAAACATGTATGTCTCATCTTTATTTATAGTTTCTGCTCTCTCATAATTTAACCCTTTCATGATGTTGGGGAAGTAAAATTAAAAACAAAATCTTCTCCCAACCCAGAAATCCTCTCCACAAAGGTAGTAGAGAAAGAAAACACTTTAATTATTGCACAGGCATTAAACCAGAATGTGACGAACATCACAGACAAACCCCTAAGAGACTGGGAAGAAGAAGGGAATCTGACCTCTTTATGTAGGCAAGCAGATACAACCTGTTACATACATGTTTTCAGATAAATAGTAACTAGTCCTCAGTTAAGAGAACTCGACAGCACTATTTGTCACACACAGTTTATCCTAAGTTAGCTGGGTAATTGAGGTGACCTTTTGTGTTAGCTAGTTGACTTTATCCAGAGGAAGAACAAACCTTTCATATCTTTATGAAAGGAGGTAGTTTTGCAACTTGGAGCAAGGTGCCCACCCACCGAAGTTAGGCTACTACCCTCCCACAGAAACTGGGAGATAGGGGCACTAACTAGCTCCCTCGATGTTTCCATTTCAAAGAGATGGTTCCCAGGTCCCTGAGAAAGACATTCCTAGGTCTTTGACAAAATGCCAATCTAGTTTTCAAAAGGATTTATTTACATTTCAAAGAGAAGAGAAAGTGCCTGCAAGTTTTCTAAAGTAAATGCTCAAAGAAAAAGGAGGGGAGGGAAATTTCTTCCCTTATTTTCCACAGGAAGAATTAAGCCTCTCATTTTTAATTTGTATTTGTCCTTACAATGATATGCAATTCTCCCTCAGTATCCGTGGGGAATTGGTTCCAGGACCGTCCCCTCTCTTACCTCCCCGGCTCCGCACGGAAACCAAAATGTCCGGATGCTCAAGTCCCTTATATAAAATGGTGTAGTTGGCTATCCGTATCTGCGTGGGGTTCCACATTAGCAAATTCAACCAACCACGGAAACGAAACCCGGGGATACGGAGGGCCGACTCTAATGACCTCTCTGGTCCCCTTGAAAGCCAGGCTTTTCTGATATAACTGCTGCACTAAATGGAAGATTCCTAGGGAGAAGAATCAGATTGCTTCTAGTCATTTGTACTAGGTTGATGGCCAGCCTCCTGATTGGGATCTCTGAGACATGCACCCACCTATCTTCCAATCAGTTATGACAAGAGGAAGAAAGAATAATATGGAAGGAATAAAGGCCTTACAAGTGGCTGTGGCTAGAGCAGCCCTTTAAAAGCAGCAAACACCCCCATGTACCTGGCCCATTTTTCCCTTTAGCCTTCAAATGCCTGAAGGAGCTCCCCTTAGTATCCCCAGTGTTTCACAGGTACTGACCTTTTAGTGGGTGCTCAACAGACACTGTTGGTTGAATGAATGTTTGAACTATGTTCTTAGCAGATTGTAGTTTTGTTAGGTACTCCTCCTGTCGAAAGCAGCTCTGGAGTATGATTGCTATTCATTAAGTGAGAAATGCATAGTGTGAATTGCTGAAAATTACAGAAAATGGTGTTATGAAAGGAAAACTTCTGAAATAGAGAAGTTGACTTGAATGTTTCCATATGAATGACTATCACATTCTTTTTATGAAGTTTTTAAAATTATTTAAAAATTTATTTATTTTTAAAATCTCACTTGGGGAAGAGAAAAGATATATTAGTGTCAGGAATAAAGATTTAGAATAAAGAACAATTACATATTAATGAAATTCTTTCATTTCTGGGAAAACTAGATTGAACCAGTTATCTTAGAGACATTTTGTTTTGTCAAGTACAGAAAGAGTGGAAATATTTTTTATAGGAAACAGGAAAAGAAACAGTCTTATGACTTACCTTTGGAGAGCACCAAATTAACAGATTCCCCCCACTCCCTCCCACCTTCCATCTAATCTATCTTTTAACTTATCCAAAGTAGAAAAGAACATTGTGAAAACCTGCAAAGTTTAGTTAATAGCCGAGGCAATGAGCTCAGAGATCTGCTCTTCCATAATTCCATATGAACTCTCACCTCAGGAGTCGACACTTATAAGAGATGCTTTGGAACCCGAGGGGTTTGTGTGAGAGGAGAGAGTTGAATAAGTGGAAATTGAGTCTCAGCACTGGAGAAACAAGAATCAAATGCCTGGTCATTGGAGGGTGGTAGCGCCATCCTTTTATGAGAAGAGCAGAATAACAAAGACTGTTTCTACTGGGAAATCGGTCATTCTTGAATTCCAGCTTTCTGGCATCTGTGTCCAAGGTACCCGTCAGTGGGAAGAGTCCACCAGAACTTTAAAAGAAGGTATACGTAACAAAGTAAGACTCTCGTAAAGAAAGTCAGATATTTTTAGGGAATTGTGCCAATATTGTGATCACATGAATTCTGTGGTCATTCCTTTCTACTGGAATGTGGGACACACACAACTGATTTTATGACAAATCTCCACAATATTATGTTGTTACATTTTATTCTATGCAGGCTTATTGAGCAAACTGAAACTTATTCCTTGTCTTTGTCCAACACGTCAGTGGTAGAACCTAATATAGCAATACAGTCTGTTAATTTCTCCTCAGAAGGCACTGTGGGATCTACAGGTGTTCTCTTCACTGTGCTGAAAGGTGAGCTGTTTGTTTCAGGTTCTTGTAATAGCAGAGAGCATTCTGCTACCGATAATGCTCTATTCGTGAAAGTGTAGACTTTTATGAAATTCTGCCTTTTTTCCTTCTCATAGGAACTAGGGATTCTCTGGTTTCTGGTTCCACAGTTGTAAATGCAAGTGTGGACAAACTGAATCTGAATGAACAGGCTGAACTTCAGATCTTGCTCAACACCACGAAAAGCAGGTCTTAAGTTATGTTACATGAAAAAATGCACTCCAGTTCATGGAATTAATAACTTACATCCATTGAACGAGAAATAATGTTTACTGTTTCACACTGAATAATTTGTGTTTGAGTATGTTTGAGTTCTGACAAATTATGTTAATGTCAAGTCTACTATTCTAGGCCATAGAGACAATTTCTTTTTTTATTTTTTCCTCTCTTTCTTTGCAAAAACCCTTTGGAGGGTAGCAGAATTGAAATGCTCTGGCCATGGATGCAAATCTGTTTTCCAACAAAAATCTACCTAAAGTGGTTCAGTTTTACATTTTAAAATACATTTAAAAAATACTCAGTCATAAGCTTTGCCTGTGTTTACTAGTGGAATGGCACTCACAGGCTTAAATTCATCCTATAGACCTGACCTTGGGATATTTTATGTAATTGATGCAGTCATCATCTAGCAGTACCAATTTTCAGTTATCTCTACTAGTATGGTGCCCACCATGAGCTCCTTATCATCTTGCATGTGGCCCTTTAGAAATTCTTATGTCTATCTTGAAATGTTTGTACTTTTCTTTTTTTTTCTTAATTAATTTTTGTTGGAGTATAGTTGCTTTACAATGTTGCATTAGTTTCTGCTGTACAGCAAAATGAATCAGCTATACATATACATATATGCCCTCTTTTTTAGATTTCCTTCCCATTTAGGTCACCACAGTGAATTAAGTAGAGTTCCCTGTGCTATACAGTATATTCTCATTAGTTGTCTATTTTATACATAATACCACTAGTGTATATGTGTCAATCCCAATCTCCCAATTCCTCCCACCCCCACTCTTTCCCCCTTGGTATCCATACATTGTACTTTTCAGAGTCTAAAAAAAAAACTGGTTAATTCAACTACGATAAGCAAACCAAACACACACATTTACTTTTATTCTCTCCCCAAATAAAAAAAATCCAGTGCCGGAAAGTACATATTTTAGAAAGACTAAGTTCATAATTCTCACTGGTTATATAATTCTAATTGGCTAATTCCTTATTGGTTGTAGAAGTTGCAAATATCTTCTCTCCAGTCTATAGCTATCTTTTACTTGGTTTTTCATGTCTTTTGTCATACTCAAATTTTAATTTATAATGCAGTCCAATCTTTTTTCTGTAATTGGTACTTAAAAAAAATTCATTGCTCTACTAAAGTCATGCTAGTCTCCTATATTTTCTCCTGAATATTTTTAGTGTTTGTGTTTGTACTTAGGTATTCAGTACACCTTGAATTTATGTATTTAAAGGAAAATGTATATCCTTTAATAAATTCATTAGATAATAAAAGAAATTGTTAAAAAATAATCATTCAGCTAAAGAGGCATAAAAATTAAAATAAATGTAAAGAAATCTAGAAGGAAGGAATTAATAAAAAGGGCATAAATTAATAAAAATAGAAATTAACAAATGCTAGAGTTGATCAACAAAATAAAAATTTGATTCCATGAAAGACTAATGAAAAATATGCAAGCTTCTGACAAATTTGATCAAGAAAAGAGAGAATATAAATAAACATCAAGGAAGATTATGTCTAGAGATATGGAGATTCTTTTAAAATTATAAGATAATGGTAAATATAATTTATTCTAGTGAATCTAATTATCTAGATGAAAAGATGATTTTCTAATAAATAACCAGAATACTGTAGAAATGAGGAGAGGGTGAGTAGGGAATTTCATGTTTTAAATCTATATACTTGGATGGATTTGGATTTTACATCAAGCATGTCATTCTTTTATAAAAATAAGATTAAAAAGAAGCCATACTACATTTTTAGGGTTAACTTTGTCACCTAGTATCCAGGAGGAACAATTTGGTGGGCTTAACATGCCATGAAAACACCTCAGAAGCCAATGTCTTTATTTCCCAGATGAGGACAGAGCAAAGTGGCTGGCTGTGGAGGACATCTTGGGGGCTGTCAGGGCCTTGCCTGCCTATCTCTCAAAGCACAAGACTGATTAGGCTGGTCTCACCACCACCGCTTTAGTTTTCCTTGTATATATAATATACATATATATGTGTGTGTGTGTGTGTGTGTGTATATATATATACACACACACACATGTATATATATACACACACATGCAAATACACACACACAAGTTTTTCACTTGTGAAAGACAGCAGAGTTCACCCTCTGCTGTTTCCCTGATATGCACAACTTGAGCTCCAGTCTCTTAATACAGTGGTCCCTGCTCAGTCCCTCTGAATGGGAGACAGACCTCACAGAGCAATCCTCTAGGTACAGCTGTCCTGATGTTCACCCTCTGCTGTTTCTTGTTTGATGTCTTATCAGTGGGGGAAGCAACGTGGTCTTGAGCTACCTTCACATCGTGTTCACTCCGTCTCACTGCATAGAAAGCAAGAATGTTTACTTTATACATGATATCCTTCCTTTTTTTTTTTTCCAGGCGGATTAGACAGGAATTATGGTTTCCATTTAGAACATAAGGAATCTTATCTCAGGAAAAGCCAACCACAGATCATATATGTTAATTACATACTGCAATTAAAGGCAGCTAGCAAACCATGTTTTCTGTACTTTACCCAAGTATTAAGCAGTCATGCAGTTCAGTGATGGCATGGGACTTTGTTTCTTGCTTACCCTAGGGTTCATTTTTTAATTTTAGTGTCCTTTTTCCCCCCTCACAGCTAATGCCAAGGCATGTGGCTTTGTAGTGTATCAAAACAACAAGCTTTTCCAATCAAAAACTTTTATAGCTAAATCACATTTTAGTCAAAAAATTATCTCAAGCAAAACTGATGAAAATGTGGAAGATCAGAGCACTTCTGTTGAAATGTTTTTTAGTCCAAGGGTAAGTTTTCCTATTAACAGAAATAATTCAGCCCACTCTTGATTACAAAACCAGGGACAGTTTGGGTAAAAGAAATTCACAGAACAACTCTTTGAAAGATTCTTTGACAGTATTCACTTTAACTTACCCCATCCATATTTTTGTAGACTAGCTAAACCCAAAATTAACTACTTTGAATTTTATATCCTTTTTCCTCTCCTCAATCTGTAATGAAGATGCTATGCTTTGTACATATCTAATTGGTTTCTCATATGCTTATCTTGGCCTGTTTGATTTTTTTCTACCCAGTTAAGCATTTTGAAAAATCAGTTGCCATTGTCTTATCAATTCACAGTACAATGAAAAAGAATTCCAGCTTCATTCCTATGCCTGTGTCTATTGGAATTTTTCCCTGAAGGATTGGGACACACATGGCTGTCACAAAGAAGGAGTCATTGATGGATTCTTGCGCTGCCGCTGCAACCATACTACTAACTTTGCGGTATTGATGGTAAGGGTGTACACGGTAATCTCCTTCCTGACAAGAATTTCCTTATATACGATTTTGGTATGTACTAACTGGAGATAATTTGGGGGGTTAGTTTACATAGACGCTCAACTCAGATTAAATGGAAAAACAGGGAATGGAGTTAGAGGACTAAAAAGGGAAGTGCTGGTAAAGGCAAGTAGAATAGAGTTTTTTGCAATATAGTTTCCGGATAGATGAGTTCAGTACTGTGTATTTAATAATGAGAAGGGAGCCCATGTACAAAAGAGGAGCTGACGGACTCCACTCAACTAACTCACATATCAGAAGCATGAAGTTGCTACAGCCAGAGGTAAGGCTGTATAGCTGTGTGCTGAAGACAGGTTCAGTACATACATAGCTGTGGGTGGGCAATTTGCATCAGTTACCCAAAGCTTTTTCCATTGTAATCATCTAAGTTACTAAGTTTATGCCAGAAGATATAAGAGGAAAAGCTCTTTAATTCAACTTGTCCCATAATACCTCCGTGTGTGCTGTTTCACTCCAGTGCTACCCCATACAAGTAACTGGCAACAGCTCTGGTGTGCAGCTGTTTATACACCTCTGAGATTTCTTGGGCTGACCTTTTTAGGAAGACGGGCTTCTGTTTGTTTCATTTCCAGAAACCTATTATTCTGGTGAAAACAAAAATGTTTGTTTATATACTGGATGGAATGTTTTTATATGCAGTGGAATGGGGAGGGATGTAGAGTGTCTTACCCTTACTAAGGGCCTAGTAACACTATGACTCTTCCAAAGAGAAGCAGATGTTTTAATTTTCTAGTAGCTAAGATGTACCCGTATTTGAGAAGCCAATGGAGATCCAGAACGTACTGGTACAACATAGAATATCAAATTATAGAGCCTTGCTTTTAAAATATTTTTGAGATAACTATCGTTTTCTTATTTTAATTACCAAATATTTAAAAATTGATTTTGACTATTTATTTTATAACTTGCATTATAGAGAGATCTGATTTCTCAATCAGAAATGTAAAGATAAAATTTTACCTTTTTTGATATCTTAAGATCATTAGTATTATTGAATAGCTGTGTAAAGCTCAGATTGCTTTGTATATTAAATGATACAGACTATACTGTCATAGTTATTTTTCTCCTTTCTTGAACTCAGACTTTCAGCTATTCTTACTAATATCTGAATCTGCCTCAATGCCCACCTTCTCATGTTTATAATTAGTTTGGGGTTGCAAAATTAAAAAAAAAAAGCTGATTAGAATTGTACGTAAAGTTTAAGAGCAGATAGGCTCTGAGTGTATAGATGATTTCTAAGATCTGAAGATATATGTATTCTATGATTCTTTGTCATCTACTTAGTATACTGCAGATAGGAAGTAATGTGAAATTTTTGTTTTGTTAGTATTACTTTTTTTTGCGGTACGCGGGCGTCTCACTCTTGTGGCCTCTCCCGTTGCGGAGCACAGGCTCCGGACGCACAGGCTCAGCGGCCATGGCTCATGGGCCCAGCCGCTCCGCGGCATGTGGGATCTTCCCGGACCGGGGCACGAACCCGTGTCCCCTGCATCGGCAGGTGGTCTCTCAACCACTGCGCCACCAGGGAAGCCCCGTTTTATTATTTTTTAAAACAAAGTTTATTTTATTTTTATTTTTTCCCTACTAAAGCAATACATACTCATTGCATACAGAGTGAGTCTACTTACTCAACAGAAATATACTGACATGGAAAAATGTGTATGATATCTTAAAATAGCAGTTTGAAAATAATTTGATTATGTTAACAAACCCCTGTTTATTTGTGCAAAGAGACATAGATAATATTTGTAAGCACCTATAAAAAGGTCACCTCTGGAGAAGAGTAGGATTTCAAGAGGTAGGGTATGATGTGGGGTAGAGGCAGTAAAGAGGAACGTGTGCTTTTTAAAATTATGTTTCTATACTATTTTCATGTTTTATAAATAAGCATTTTCAGCTTTTCTAATTTTAACAATTTGAAAAATTAGAAAGTACAGACAAGCAAAAATAATTATGTATATATATCCTATCCACCCAGTGACCGCCATTATTACCTCTCCAGATTTCTAAGAGTACGTACTCATGTGGAATATATTTTTCTATGACTACATACTAAAAAGCTGGGGTAGATATAGATATACTACATAAAAATTATACCCCATTTTCCGAAGAAAAATGAACAGGATCATTTGAATATCTTTCCATGTCCATAAAAATATTTCTGCAACTTTATTTTTAGTACATTAGCTTAGATATGCAGATTTTCCCTTGGATTATAGTTACACATAAAAATAATTTAATGGGTAAATAAAGCAACTCTAGCCAATTTAGATCTAACACAAACAACTTTGATTTTAGACATTGAGGAATAGTATATATGTCTTCCCTAACTGAATTAGTTAGGTAACTGTTCTTAAGCCTCTATTTCATGTAAACTGCTTAGAGATAAGGGGTTGATTTATTTCCTTTAAAAATATCACAGCTTTATATAAAAAAGACATATCTGGCTATTTTGATCAATATATCTGATTGCTTTAATCAGTGTATCTCTTTATGATGTTGACTTTCATAGATATTTCAGAATGGTTATTTAAAAATAATGAGTCAACTTACTTTCCAGAGTTTCAAAAAGGAATATAAATATCCTGAATCACTAGATGTATTTTCCACATTTGGATGTGCACTGTCCATTGCTGCTCTGGCTCTCATAATTATATTACTGGTCAGCACCAGGTAACCTGAAGGGAAGCAGGTTCTTCTCATGAGAGAAATTGCTATCCTGATATCATTTCCTTTCAGCATATTCCCATTAGAATACAGTCTCTTGGAACTGGAAAGAAAATCAGATTTAGTTCTACATACTCATTTTACAAGATTCTCAGTCCTGGAGAGACTAAGACATACACACAAATAAATGTATACTTACAAACTGTGGTAAGTGCCTTGAAGGAAAATTACATACCATGTAATTACAAGTTTGTCACATAAAATTAGTGTGGTCCCATAGTTCATCAATGCCACAGTTCCTTAGTGTTGAATAGAAGCATAACTGCCAATCTGCATTGGCAAAGAGAGAAATGTTGCTAATCAGGAAGTTTTTGAGGATAAAAGTAAATTTTAAACTGTATTAAGGTTTCAAATGGTAAAACTTCTAAAAAAGATTTTGAGAGAGGACCTTCAAGATGGTGGAGGAGTAAGAGGTGGAGATCACCTTCCTCCCCCCAAATACATCAAAAATACATCTCCATGTGGAACAACTCCTACAGAACACCTACTGAATGCTGGCAGAAGACCTCAGACTTCCCAAAGGCAAGAAACTCCCCCATGTATCTGTGTAGGGCAAAGAAAAAAAGAAAAAACAGAGACAAAAGAATAGAGATGGGACCTGCACCTCTGGGAGGGAACTGTGAAGGAGGAAAGGTTTCCACACACTAGGAAGCCCCTTGACTGGCAGAGACAGGGGGTGGGGGGGGGGAAGCTTTGGAGCCACAGGGGAGAGTGCAGCAACGGGGATGCAGAGGGCAAAGCAGAGAGATTCCCGCACAGAGGATCGGTGCCAACCAGCACTCACCAGCCTGAGAGGCTTGTCTGGGGAAGATGGGGGCTGAGAGCTGAGGCTCCAGCTTCGGAAGTCAGATCCCAGGGAGAGGACTGGGGTTGGCTGGTGCACAGCCTGAAGGGGGCTAGTGCTCCACAGCTAGCCGGGAGGGAGTCCAGGAAAAAGTCTGGAACTGCTTAAGAGGCAAGAGACCATTGTTTCCGGGTGCGCGAGGAGAGGGGATTCAGAGCACCACCTAAATGAGCTCCAGAGACAGGTGTGTGCCATAGCTATCAGCGTGGGCACCAGCGACGGGCATGAAGCACCAAGACTGCTGCTGCAGCCACCAAGAAGCCTGTGTGCAAGCACAGATCACTATTCACACCTCCCCTCCCGGGAGCCTGTGCAGCCCGCCACTGCCAGGGTCCCGTGATCCAGGGACAACTTCCCCGGGAGAATACACAGTGTGCCTCAGGCTGTTGCAACATCATGCCGCCCTCTGTCGCTGCAGGCTTGCCCCACATTCTGTACCCCTCCCTCCTCCTGGCCTAAGTGAGCCACAGCCCCCTAATCAGCTGCTACTTTAACTCGGTCCTGTCTCAGCAAAGAACAGACACCCTCAGGTGACCTACATGCACAGGCAGGGCCAAATCCAAAGCTGAACCCCAGGAGCTGTACAAACAAAGAAGAGAAAGGGAAATCTCTCCCAGCAGCCTCAGGAACAGTGGATTAAATCTCCACAATCAACTTGATGTACCCTGCATCTGTGGAATACCTGAATAGACAACGAATCATCCCAAAATTGAGGCGGTGGACTTTGGGAGTAACTGTAGACTTGGGGTTTGCTTTCTGCATCTAATTTGTTTCTGGTTTTATGTTTATCTTAGTTTAGTGTTTAGAGCTTATTATCTTTGTTTATTGATTTGGTTGCTCTCTTCCTTTATATATATATATATATTTTTTTTCCCTTTTTCTCTTTTTGTGTGTGTGTATGTGTATGCTTTTTTGTGTGATTTTGTCTGTGTAGCTTTGCTTTTATCATTTGTCCTAGGGTTCTGTCTATCATTTTTTTAAATTATTATTATACTTTTTAGCACTTGTTATTATTGGTGGATTTGTTTATTGGTTTCATTGCCCTCTCTTTCTTTTTTAAATTACTTTTTTATTTTTAATATTTTTTTATTTTAATGACTTTATTTTATTTATTTATATTTTTTCTTTTTATTTCTCCCTTTTCTCTTTTTTTTAAATTTAGGATATAAAATTAACCATTTTATTTAATTAATTAATTAATTAATTTAGAAATTTATTTATTTTATTTATTTATTTTTGGCTGCTTTGGTTCTTCATTGCTGTGCATTTCTTTGGCTACTGTTCGGTGTGGTGAACGGGCTTCTCATTGTGGTGGCTTCTATTGTTGAGGAGCGTGGGCTCTAGGCACATGGGCTCAGTAGCTGTGGCACGCGGGCTCAGTAGTTGTGGCTCATGGACTCAGTAGTTGTGGCTCATGAGCTCCGTAGTTGTAGCTCATGGGCTCAGTAGTTGTGGCTTGCAGGCTCTAGAGCACAGGCTCAGTAGTTGTGGCACATGGGCTTAGTTGCTCTGCGGCATGTGGGATCTTCCAGGGCCAGTACTCGAACCTGTGTCTCCTGCATTGGCAGGTGGATTCTTAACCAGTGTGCCACCAGGGAAGCCCCTTATTTCTCCCTTCTCTTCTGAGCCGTGTGGCTGACAGGGTCTTGGTGCTCCAGCCAGGTGTCAGGCCTGAGTATCTGAGGTGGGAGAGCTGGGTTCAGGACATTGGACCACCAGAGACCTCCAGGTCCCTCCTAATATCAAATGGCAAAAGTTCTCCCAGAGATCATCTCGTGCTAAGACCCAGTTGCACACAATGACCAGCAAGCTACAGTGCTTGACACCCCGTACCAAACAGCAAGACAGGAACACAACCCCATCCATCAGCAAAGAGGCTGCCTAAAATCATAATAAGGTCACAGACACCCCACACAACACCACTGGACGTGGTCCTGCCCAGCAGAAAGGCAAGATCTAGCCTCATCCACCAGAACACAGGCAGCGGTCCCCTCCACCAGGAAGCCTACAAAACCCACTGAACCAACCTCACCCACTGCGGGGGAAAAAGTGGGAACTATGAACATGCAGCCTGCGAAAAGGAGACCCCAAATGCAGTAAGTTAAGCAAAATGAGAAGGCAGAGAAATACACAACAGATGAAGGAGCAAGGTAAAAACCCACCACCCCTAACAAATGAAGAGGAAATAGGCAATCTACCTGAAAAAGAAGTCAGAGTAATGATAGTAAAGATGATCCAAAATCTTGGAAATAGAATGGAGGAAATACAAGAAACGTTTAACAAGGACCTAGAAGACCTAAGGAGCAAACAAACAATGATGAACAACACAATAAATGAAACTAAAAATTCTCTAGAAGGAATCAATAGCAGAATAACTGGGGCAGAAGAACGGATAAGTGGCGTGGAAGATAAAATAGTGGAAATTACTACCACAGAGCAGAATAAAGAAAAAAGAATGAAAAGACTTGAGGACAGTCTCAGAGACCTCTGGGACAACATTAAATGTACCATCATTTGAATTATAGGGGCCCCAGAAGAAGAGAAAAAGAAAGGGACTGAGAAAACATTTGAAGAGATTATAGTTGAAAACTTCCCTAATATGGGAAAGGAAATAGTCAAGTCCAGGAAGCACAGAGAGTCCCATACAGTATAAATCCAATGAGAAACACGCCAAGACACACATTAATCAAACTATCAAAAACTAAATACAAAGAAAAAATATTAAAAGCAGCAAGGGAAAAGCACCAAATAACATACAAGGGAATCCCCATAAGGTTAATAGCTGATTTCTCAGCAGAAACTCTGCAAGCCAGAAGGGAGTGGCAGGACATATTTAAAGTGATGAAAAGGAAAAACCTACAACCAAGATTCCTCTACCCAGCAAAGATCTCACTCAGATTCAAAGGAGAAATTAAAACCTTTAGAGACAAGCAAAAGTTAAGAGAATTCAGCACCACAAAACCAGCTTTACAACAAATGCTAAAGGAACTTCTCTAAGCAGGAAACACAAGAGAAGGAAAAGACCTACAATAACAAACCCAAAACAATCAAGAAAATGGTAATAGGAACATACATATCGATAATTACCTTAAATGTAAATGGATTAAATGCTCCAACCAAAAGACATAGACTGGCTGAATGGATACAAGAACAAGACCTGTATATATGCTGTCTACAAGAGACCCACTTCAGACCTAGGGACACATACACACTGAAAGTGAAGGGATAGAAAAAGAAATTCCATGCAAATGGAAATCAGAAGAAAGATGGAGTAGCAGTTCTCACATCAGGCAAAATAGACTTTAAAATAAAGACTATTACAAGAGAGAAAGAAGGACACTACAAAATGATCAAGGGATCAATCCAAGAAAAAGATGTAACAATTTTAAGTATATATGCACCCAACATAGGAGCACCTCAATACATAAGGCAAATGCTAAGAGCCATAAAAGGGGAAATTGAAAATAACACAGTTATATTCAGGGATTTTAACACCCCACTTTCACCAATGGACAGATCATCCAATATGAAAATAAATAAGGAAACACAAGCTGTAAATAATACATTAAACAAGATGGACTTAATTGACATTTATAGGACATTCTATCCAAAAACAACAGAATACACATTTTTCTCAAGTGCTCATGGAACATTTTCCAGGATAGATCATATCTTGGGTCACAAATCAAGCCTTGGTAAATTTAAGAAAATTGAAACCATATGAAGTATGTTTTCTGACCACAATGCTATGAGACTAGATATCAATTACAGGAAAAGATCTGTAAAAAATACAAACACATGGAAGGTAAACAATACACTACTAAATAACCAAGAGATCACTGAAGAAATCAAAGAGGAAATTAAAAAATACCTAGAAACAAATGACAATGAAACACCACTCCCCAAAACCTGTGGGATGCAGCAAAAGCAGTTCTAAGAGGGAAGTTTATAGCAATACAATCCTACCTCAAGAAACATCTTGGACTTCCCTACTGGCGCAGTGGTTAAGAATCTGCCTGCTGGTGCAGGGGACGTGGGTTAGAGCCCTGGTCTGGGAGGATCCCACATACCGTGGGGGCAGCTAAGCCTGTGTGCCACAACT